TTCATCATCAGTCTCTTGAAAGGGTTCACTTTCTTCATCTGTCTCATCTTCAATTATTGCCTTGGGACTCTTTTTTGTAGTTTGATCACGCAAATTCATATGTAATTTAGAACAATGTGCTTCTGACATGTTTTGTTCTTTAGAGTTGTCACAGGAAATCTTCTTTTTAATTTTCCTTGCGTTAATTTTTGATTTTTTCTTTGCTTGCTCTTCGTTTTTATATTTCAATTCCTCAAGATTCGGAGAACATGTTAAGACCGCGTACTTTTTTGTTACATTCCTTTTTCTTGATTGGTATATTGCTTTTGGAGGAGGAGATATTTCTAAAAATGGCACCTTTGCGAGTACTGTCTTGTCTTCTTCATTACTATTGATTGGAAGTTCAGAAACGACATCTGATTGATTTTCTTTTTCTGTTTGATTGTCATCGTGAAGCTGCTCCCCCAACGGATTTGGTGTTTCAGCCTGAGTATCTCCTAATGCAATATCAGTTGTGTCCGCTGGTACAAAAAGGTAATCGGGGAAAACGTTGGAATTAAATGGACTGATTCCTGTTTTAGCAAATCCGCTCAATGCATTTTGGATTGTGGCTGCTTTACCATACGCTTCAGAAAAGAGTTCACTCACTTGGTAAGCTGTAATAACACGACCTGGATGATTTTTCATCCATGTGGTACAAGCCTGATTATAATACGCCTTTAGGGGTCCAAAAAAACCCACATCAAGCGGCTGCATACGGTGGGTGTAGTGAGCTGGGAAGCACATGAGAATGATGTTATTCTCTCTACAAAACGACACAGCTGCTAAGGAGATATGGCTTACATGACCATCAAGCAGAAGGAGTATTTTATTCTCCGGAGAGGGATTAGCATGTTTTCAAAAATGTTTCAGCCATTGAACGAATAAGAGTTCTGAGTTCATCCAACCAGACTCTTAGCACAAACCTAAACTTCCAGGAGGTGCTTTATCAAAAAGTTCATCTTTTTTTTTTTTTAAAGATCAAGGCTGGAGGAATATAGTTACCTGTTGCACTCATGCAACAAACAACAGTTACATGCTGGCCTCTTTCTGCGCTTGTCAGGGATCCTACTTGTTTGCGCCCAGTTGATGCCAATATTTTCGGAGGTTTCTGGACAGTAGACAGTCCACTTTCATCCATATTGTAAATATTCTCAACAATGATAGATTTCTCTTGTAGAACAGAATCTAAAACCTCAAAAAATTTGGAAACTTGAGGCTTGTTAAAAGCTCGTGCTCTGGCTGCTGAAGTAAGTTCTGGCTGTCGTAGAGATAATCCTCTGAGCCACTCTTTTCCTGCGATTCCTTTTTCACGGTTAAATCTATGATCTAGTTTATTTTTTTCCGGAATTAAGCTAATTGTCTCACTTCGGTTGTGGTTAAACCAAACAGTCTAGATTCAAGATATTTTAGGTGTTTTACCAACTCTTTGTCTGTTTGGGAATCAAGTTATTGAAAATCGGCCCAGATCGAATTACAATTAATATAAATCATTGTACCAAAAAGACTAGAAATTGTACTATGCGTCGTATAAAATGACATACTATGTCATTTTAACAACAACCACAATATGTCATTTTAAACGCAATGTTACATTTTCAATATATAGATTATTATTGATAATGTTAAAGTTGCTATTAAAAAACCTACTTACCAATCAATTGTTCACTGTTCACATATAACAATTAATGCCAACACAATATTTAATACCACGAAGAATGATATAAAAACAGCAATGTAAAACGCATACAAAACTTTCTTGCCACTGAAACATAACCTACACAATAAAACCGTTAAATAAACCTGGAGAGATCTGTAAACTTATAGTATATTTTAATAGAGTGTTTGTTACTTGATGCCGCTTCTAGTTTCCTATATAGAGCAAGTGTGTCATTTAAGCAGCTGTCATTTTAGGACACTTTCCCCTACTAACTATATTTTTTATAAATCACAAAAATTAACAATCATTATTTTTTATTAAATATACCTATGTTCTTTAATTAAGTAGACTGCTAGTCGTTAAGAAATAAGCAAAGCCTAATGTGATTTTTTTCATTAAAAAAGTCATTTTAGGCTTCTTTTATTTGTACTCCTAGTCATAAAGAATTAATCGAAGCTTAAGATGGTTTTCCGATAAAAATTAAGCTTCACTTATTTAACGACTGGCAGTGCAAATGTACCTAAGTATTAGCTTGATTTCTATTTGTAGTATTATCGTTTATTAAACATTGTTTACGAACAATATTTTTATGTTTGATAAATTATTGGAAAAAATTCTTTTATTCTAATTCTCGTACACATGTGCTAATAGATATCATAAATATTTTTATAATATACCTAATATTTATTTATATTTTTAATTTTTAAATATAAGCTCTTTATCTTTTTTATTGCCTATTATTTCAACCTTCATTTTTCCGTATTACACTTTCTGATGTTTGAATTAAAAAAACCTGATGTGTCCAACACAAATAATAATAATAATAATAATAATAAATAATAATAATAATAATAATAATAATAATTTACTATTACTAGATATCTATTTAAATAATGCAAGGTTATAAAATATGTGCATAATTTAAAGAATTTTAAAGGTATATATCAAATCTATTATTTATATTAATTGTAAACCCCGTAAAAATGATGCGACACTGAAAATAGTGTCTACCTATTTCCCCTCATAACCCAAACAAACTCTATTGAATGCGTACTCTATGAAATATATATGCTCGAAGATTTTACATTGATTTACATAGAAAATTGACAGCACTACTGTTCGACAACTACAGTCTTACAGTCAATTCCGCGAACTTTATAAAAATAAGGGCGGAAATTTAAAATTTGACCATTGCCGATTCGCCTTCTTCTCTCCAGTCTTCATACTTCCAACATCTGTCAACTTAATTCACTGTTACAAAAGTCATACGTGATTAGAAGCTAGTTTTAACTATTTACTTTAAGATGTCACTACCTGGTTCCTAAGAATCAGTGGCGCCTCATCTTAAATAGTACCCCACATTTCGGCCTCTAACGAGTCTAACGGTATTGTTATAGGGGTTTTTTAATTGGAAGATAAAATATTACATCAATCATTATTTTTTTTTATTATATTAGTAACTGAACTTATATTAGTAAACACGAATAGAGATACAAAATTGAAACTGGAACTATTAAGAAGAGAATAAAATTGTATACAATATAGAGTATTCCTAACATAGATTTAGATTAAAATGTCATTTTAATTTGAGGGATAGACATAAAAAACAAGAGAAAATTTAGAAAAATGCTCATTTTGTAAAAATTAATAGAGATAAAAAAAATTTGGAACTATCGAGAAGAGAATAAAATTTTATAAATATAGACAATTACTAATATAGATTTAGAATCAAATGTAATTTTAATTTGAGGGAGAGACATAAAACACCCGTAAAAATTTGAAAAAATGCCCATTATGTAAAAAGGAATAGAAATAACAAATTGAAACTAGAACAATTCATAAGAAAATAGAATTTTATACAATATATAAACTATTCTTTATATCGATTTAAAATGAAATGTAATTTTTATTTAAATACAAAACAAAATACACAATTTAAGACATTAAAAGAAATAACCTTACTTCAGTATTTTTTTATTTGAGTATAGGTACCTACAAAACTTAATAAACCTTCTAAATCAGTCAAAAAATATTTTATCAAAACATAAAATAAAAAGACACTTTTGGAAAATAATATACTCTACATGCAGAAACTAAAAATTTATTAAATTTTTTTTTTAACAAACAAAATCAAAATAATTTAGTTGTTAATCTTAGTTTTAGAACAATATGATCTCTGATAGCATTGTCATCTTCTAAGTTTAAAAATAATCACAACAATGAAATGTTTCATTCTCTAGACCAAATGATGTAACTAGGTACCAATAAATAGATAATTTATTAAGTATATATTTTATATTTTAAAACAACTTGTTAAAAAGAGACAGTTCAGTGCTTTTGAAGTTTACAATTGTTTTTATAAAACCGACTCAAGAACAACCACCATTTGTAAGCTTGTTTACAAAGTTCATTTTCTAAATAAGTGATTATTGTAGGTATTAAATTTTATTTATATTTCAACTAATGTATGTAATTTATACTTGGCAAAAATATTTATTGGGTATTCTCAAAGATCTCTCTTTCGGCTCATATTAAAAATTGAAAAGTTTCTTTCAAAAAAAAAAAGTATGTCCAAAAATGTCTGAAATAAGTTAACGGTGACAATTAGTGGCCAATTGTTGTATTTACAGACACAAATGGTGATTTTTTTTATAAAAGTAAACAGAGTCATTGTCAAATACAGAGCGTTTCTGCAAAAGTCTATTAGGACTTGTTGCTAGGAAATAGTTTTTTTATGACTTTGATGTATTCTATTTTAATTAAGACAGTTAGAATATTTTTCCTTTAATAAAACTCATATAGAATCTATAGTTTCAATTAAAAGGAAAGTAAAGTAAAATCACAACAAGACTGGTATAATGTGTTTTGTATTTCCTAAAAAAAATCTGATTTTGGACATGTATCATAAATACGTAAATAAAAAAATAATTCTAAATATATCTATCCACACTTAAAAATACTCATTTAGGTGAAGTTAATTATTTCATACCACAGTAGTTATTCAGGGTAGGTGTGTACTTCCTTTTTGGAGCAATTTTGGTTGTTTCAAATAATATTTAACATCCATATTCTACACTATCTTTCAATTAACAGAGGTTTTACTGTAATAAAAAAAAAAAACTTAAAAATAATTTATTTGAATGAGATCCAAAAAAGAAAAGAGAGGAAAGTGATTTATAATTAATGGAAAATAATGAAAAAATACTTAATAACTTAAAAAAAATAAGGGTAACTTTCATCTAATGCATTACTTTTTTTAGTAACAATCTGAGTAATGATCCCAGGTCTGACTAGAGAAAATAATCAATATTCTTTGGATTAATTACTGGTTGTCTAGTGACGTTTTCATAGAATCATCAAATTTTAATAAACTTTCTATATTAATTTTGTTTTCATCATTATTTGTACTATTTTTAAATTCAACAATATCAGAAGATGTGGCATTTTTATCTTTAAGATCACTGTCATGTTGAATAATAGTTTCACAAATTACATTATCTTTTTTACAATTATCATGAACATTTTCTAATTTAACTAAATTATTTTCATGCGACATCTCATTGAGAATATCACCACTTGGTCTAAGTATAAACATGTAAACAGGAAACAATCCTTTTGGAAAATTTTGTTGTTTCAATTGTCTATAACACTCTAACTTTGCTTTCTGAAATATTGTATGGTAATGGCGTAAAGGTCTAGTTATTGAAGAATCCTGTTCATCTTTTTCTATTTCATCTGAGGATGTTACATTTTCTTTTATCACAATGACACCATTCTTCTTCAAACCCTTCCTAAAATTAGTTATTTTGTTTATAATTGAAGACATAAGTGGATGAAGGACCTATGTAATAAAAACATACTTTATCCAGTACTTATTATTTTGTATTAGGCATAGCCGTGCTTTCACATAATCCTCACTGTTGCTATGCTCTCTAGCTTTTTACCTCACATTCAGTTCAGCTAATATCCCATCACCATATCTTCTAATAGTAATCGACGACTGGCTGTTACCATTTTATTAATTTGTATACTAGTCATATGCCTAACACGAAAAATAAGCACTGTATATATTTGAGTTTCTTACTTAAGTAGTTCACCATAGAACATAGGTCCGCTATCCCCTAATAACATATTTATTTGAAACAATATCATAACAGAACAGAATAAATTTTAGATGCACATGGCCTTCATTTATGCAAACCATCGATTTTTTTTTAAATTTCTTTGTTGGGGAAAATGTACCTACTTAATTAGATTGAGAGCTTTTTAATAAATATGCATTAGGTATCAGAGTTATTTCTGCACAGTTTACTTACCCACATGATATTAAAAACTGAATTAAATCTGCATTAGTCAAATGACCTAAAACCCATTGAATCCATATGACATCATATTTTCCTGTTTCTGGTTGGAAATTTTGCAAGCCTTCTGGATAAAAATTGCCTATTTTATCGACTTTTGGGCCCAAATATTGTTTAGCTTGTTGGAGAAAATCTTCATTCTGTTCCACCATATCAACTTTTTCAAACGTTTCAGTTAACAAAAATTTGGAAATCCTGCCTATACCTGCTCCGCAATCTAAAGCGTAATGTTTTTCTGGGGGATCTTTGGAGTTAAATAACTGGTTTAATAACATTTTAGAGCCTTTTATATCCGTTTGGGAAATGAAACCAAATCCTCCTAACATACCGTCTATAGTAGCCGGAATCTCAGACCAATAATTTACGGCATTAGTATAAAACTTTTCTTCATTATTATCCACATTTTCTAAACTCATATTTTACAAATGACAAATTGCCCAAAATAAAAACGGAAAACTTTCTATTTTATACAAAAAGAAAATAAACATAAAGGTTATGTTGGTTTATACCGTTCTTCTTCTCTTTTTAGTGTTTTATTGTATTTTTAAGTTCGAAGCCACGAATAAATTGCTAACGCCTATGTAGACAAAAGGCCATCAAAATAACTGAATTCATTCTTTTTTTAGCCATTTGATTTTATAGTTCTAGGCACAGGTCCGGATCCAGGTAAGTCGTCAGTCAAAATAAAAATATTGATTAACTGCAGAGTGCAATAATAATTTTAAAAATGTATCCTATAATTTATTGAATATAACTTATCAGCTGCTGTATTAATGACATGTCATTTGGCAGACCTGTTCAAAATAAGAAATTACTACTTTGTTCTCTATTTGTTATTTGTTTAGTAACATTATTTTTGTTTTCCAAATATCCTATTTTAGGTGATGAATATAGAAGAGAAAGACTGTAAGTATTTCTTACAAGATAGCATGTTTAATGTTTATTGCAATAATTTAAAAATGCTGAAAATGAACTAAGTATAATACAATAACAATGGATTTTTATGAACATATACAAGTATATCCAATGTAAACCATTCTCCGAATCTAGTTGTACAGTGTAAATTATCAACCAAACTAAATCATATGAAGTAGGAAACAGGAAAACTTAATTATCTACCTTAATAAGAAATTAACTTGGAAAATACAAAATCCTACTTGGTTCAAAATTAGGGTGACCATATTTATTTTTACCCAATGCTTAACGCTGAACATAAACACAACATTGATGAACTTTGTAGAGCTGATGACCTTTTTTTTTAGATCCCCAAAGATAAATACAAATACACACAAATCATGTATTACGTTTTTGTCTTGTTATGTTTTAGTTAATTATGTATTACATTGTTGGACAATAATGGAGTTTTGCTGGACAAATGTAGTGATCTGCTGGACAAATATAGCATTTTGCTGTACAAGATCAAAAGGTGGACAGACTATGAAAATGTTGTACAATACAGTGAAACGCTATACGTATGATCACCCTATTTGAAATAAATACTGTATTGCTTTCAAGCTATTTTCTGGGAGTGGTGATTTCAATACTTTGCTGCTATAGTGTATTGAAACAATCAAAGCACACTCTTTTGGGGACCGTGGGTTGCCCACTTGTTTTTAAGTTTCATCTATAATAAATCTATCAATTCATGGTGTATCCTTCAGAATAATAGCATTGTACAGACCTAACCCAAGTAACTTGACTTTGTTCATTGAGGAGCTTGATACATATTTGGACCAAACTAAACAGAATATTAAAATTGAATTATTAATCAGTGACATTAACATTAATTTAATGAATGAGAATGAGTTAAATGTAAACAAATATCTTTCTGTGCTTGCCAAACATGGTTTTGTACCTTATATTTTAAATCATACCCGTGTTACACTGGAATGTGAATCATGTCTAGATCATATTTTCTTAAAAAAAGTCACTCAACCAACAAAACTTCACTTTTCCTAAATGCCACATTACTGACCACTATCTGGTCTTATTACAGGTAAATTCTAAATTAAACACAAAAATTAACTTAAACTTCGATGAAAGAGTAATTACCAAAATTGATAAGCAAAAATTAAAAACCTTAATGAAAAATGCAAATTGGAATGACATTTTAAATCTACATGATCCCCAGATTGCAACTGATAATTGTTTGAGTCAATTCAGTAAATACATCGATAACTCAAAAATTGACGCGTAATATGAAAAAAAAAATTCAAAATTAAATTAAAAAAAGGATTAAGGCTACATTTTTTACCAAAACTGGAAAATGAATACAAAACGTATAGAAACGATTTAAATACATTACTAAAAAAACTAAAAATAACTATTATTACAGACAAATTGAAAACAATAAAAATAACATAAAAAAAATTTACCAAATAATCCCTACTAATGAAAAAACTTATAAAAAAATCTACCTCTAGGTTTATTAATGATGAAGGTGTTGAATTTAAAGACAATAAACAAATGGCAAATCACTGTAATAAATATTTTATCAACATTGGTCTAAATATGCTAAAAAATATAAATAAAACGAATTACACAGAAATCCCATCATACAATTCTAACACAATGTTTCTTAATCCAATTTCAGATAATGAACTAATAGAGCATATATCTTCATTAAAAATCAATAGTTTACCAGGTATTGATGAAATAACAGCTGACATTATAAAAAACAATCATCAATACATCCTAAAACCGCTTAAACATGTAATAAACTTAATATTTTTGAACGGTCTTGTCCCCAGACAATTTAATTCTTCTATAATTACACCAATTCATAAAGCTGGAGATAAATCAAAAATTTCAAACTATAGACCAATTAGTGTAATAAATAATTTTGGAAAGATGTTTGAAAAGTGTCTGAAAACTCGATTAGTGAAATTTTTTGATCACAATAATATATTACATAAACAGCAGTTTGGTTTTCTCTCTGGCAAAGCAACCAGTGATGCTATGTGCTCAGTTATTAAGGACATTACAGAGGGTTTAGATGACAATAAAAAATATATAGCAGTTTTTCTGGATCTCGCTAAAGCGTTTGACACGGTCAACCACGAAAAGCTCCTTAATACTCTAGAATGTTATGGCGTTCGTGGCATAGTGTTGGATGTTTTTAAGAGTTACCTCACAAATCGGGAACAATGCGTTAAAATTAACGATACGATAAGTGAACCGGAGATTGTAAAAATAGGGGTGCCTCAGGGTACCGTCCTCGGCCCAGTTCTATTTTTGGCATATATCAACACTCTTTTATCGTTATTAAAGGAGGCATCTATTGTATCCTACGCGGACGATACAGTTATAATATTTCGTGAAAATTCATGGGCTGAAACTAAAGTTGCTGTTCAACGGGGTATTGGATAAGTTAAAAGGTGGCTCAATGAGTATCAACTTCCGTTAAATGCGAACAAAACAAATTATCTCGCCTTTACTTTAACTGAAACTAATAGACCAGACTTCACTAGTATAAAAATCACAGGTATGCAAGATGAAGTTAAGGGTGAGATTACAGAACGTCTGCAACTTTGCAGATCTGCAAATATGGCGGACTTACAAATGCAAGTATCAAGTTTTCGTATTCCAAAAATTATCTGCAAATTCGCAATAATCCACTATAAATTTTGCTAATTTGCAGATATTTTTTGGAATACGAAAACTTGATACTTGCATCTGTAAGTCTGCTATATTTGCAGATCTGCAAAGTTGCAGACGTTCTGTAATCTCGCGAAGTCAAGTACTTGGGCATAATTATTGATAAAAAATCTAAAATGGGGTAACCATATAGATTATCTGACGAGAAAGGTGGTGAGGAAGCTTATTTACAAATTCTATCAACTACCATGGTTTCTTTCGAGAAAATTGTTATTACCAATTTACAAGTCTTTAGCTGAATCACTCTTCCGTTATGGAATCTTTATATGGAGAGGATTGTACAGGAACTCATTACAGAAACTAAATATTACGCAAAATTACATTCTAAAAATTATACTCAAGAAACAACGACGATATCACACAAACTTATTATATACAGAGGATATTTGCAATATTCGATCACTTTATTAGCTTATGTATATATGCTTTTAAAAACAATTTCTTCCAGAATAGATTACCCTCTGTATACCAAACCCGCAGTACTGCTAATGAGTTCCTAACCACCCGAAAATTTAGAAAAAATATTAGTCATATATTTTTTATTCATACTTTGCCAAAAGCATGCAATTTATTACCATTAGATATTCGGCTCACCACTAGATTTAAACGTTTTTCCACTGTATCTAGAAATTTTATCTTTCATAATTATATTGAATTTGTAAAAATTCTAGAATAAAAAATTTAAAATAAAATAAATATAGAATAGAATATGTATAGGTAGGCACTTAAATAATAACTAAAATAATAACAAAAAAGTATTTATTAAATTACTCTATATTTGCTCTTACATGTTAAATTTTTAATTTATATTTAATGTAATACAACACAGTATATCATTTAGAGTGGCACAACACAAGTGTTCAATCACTTAGGTGCTTAACTCTGGACGATTTTCATTTGTTCTTTCCCCTAGTTTTACTACTTTTCATCTTTATTACAATTTTCTACAGTCTGTTTTCTTCATGGATTCATCTATACATATCTTGTTCATTTTATCTTTATTTTTGTTTTTATTAATACTATTTCCATAAGGCATGTATAATTGTTTTAAATCTGAATTATTTTAGATTTCACATTGTAAATTTGTAAGAAAATTGTAAATATTGTAAAAGGGCTTATGTCCAAATAAATAAATAAAATAAATAAATCAGTATTAAAAAAAAACATACCTGTTTCAGGAAATTAATAAATGAAGTAATAAAAACTCAAGCTAGCAACTTAGCATGCAGACAGCCAAATCTTCCTGTGGGTTCCCCAGAAATTATGAAATTTGTTCGTACAGTGCCCAAAATAGATTGCTCAAAATCTGGAATTGACTGGGTAAAATGTACGGTGAGAAAATATCATACCCATATTATATCATGAACCTTTTTAATTGAGTATCAATTTTAGGATACAATTTGCAGTGTAGAAGAAACAGCAAATATACAATTTGGTCCCTTAAATTGCTATTTTACAGATGTCTACAGAAAAAATGATTACAAAGTTGTTCATGGACAACCAGTAAAAGCTGAAACGTACGAATTAAAAAAAAGTGATGTGGTACGTGTGTTATGTTCGGCAGAAGAACAAAAATGGTCTGCTACTTTGGTTGGTATTAGAAAAGATGAAAAAGTTTGGAATGCATCAAGTTGGGATAAGTTACCGAAAAATTCATTGAAAATGAATGTTCTTATGTTTGGATTCGATTCTCTGTCCAGAAATTCTTTTATTAGAAAATTACCCAAAAGTTATGAATATCTTGATACCATTTTAGAGACTGATGTACTTCAAGGGTAGGTAATGTTTGTGTTCCCATTTGTTTTGCCTCTTTTCACCATGTATCCATTGACACATTTTAAATCTTCTGCTTTGACCTGCTTTTGGGTTACATATGATTCAAAACTATTATTATTTTTTCAGATACAATATTGTTGGAGATGGAACTCCGCAAGCTCTAATACCAATGCTAACTGGAAAAAATGAATTAGAGCTACCAGATACACGTAAAAGAATAAAAAACACAAAATTCGTGAATTCTTACCCATTTATTTGGAACGATTATAAGAAATCTGGCTATGTTACTGCATTTTTTGAGGATGTCCCGAAAACAGGAACATTCAACTATAGATTAAATGGTTTCAATGTATGTTTTTAAACCACAGCTTATACTCGGGCCGCTGAAAAGGTATAATGATCAGATGCTAAAAAATAAGCATTTATAGTCATTTTTAAACTCTGCAAGTTAAAGCGGATCATATAAGCTTTTGTGCCATATCTTTTTGGCGACTCAACTTCCTTTATCCAATGGGTCCACAAATTGTAATATATAGTTTTATTTTTAGAAATCGCCAACAGACCACTATATGAGACCTTATTATTTGGCTTTATTAAATGATAAAAAAAAATGGCCTGCACTTTGTGTAGGGGAGAATCCCAAGCACAAAATTATGTTAAATCTTATAAAGGAGGTAAGTAAGTATATTTTAAGACTTAGTTTCATATCACAGATAATAATAATAATATTTATTCGGCTTTGAGACATACATATTTACAATATTTTAAAAAGGTTAAAAAATGTATAAACATATAAGACCTATTAGCCTTGTCAACATATACAATTTTAAAAAGTAGAGACATGCTACAATTGAGTTTAAAATAAAGTACAAATTAAAAATAGGGCAAAAACATTAGATTATAATTATAATAAAGAGATACCATTACGGATTACCGAGTAGGTATCATTCATAAATTCTGCATAGGAATAATATTTTTTGGACGAAAAATATGCATAAAGCTTATTTTTGAATACATTAAAGATTTTTTCATCTATTAAAACATGCAACACCTCTGTAGATTTCGGAATTCTGTCCAACTGAGAGAAAGACTGCTGTAGATATTTGTGATTGCGTGTGTTATAATTGTGTGAGTGTCTATAATCTGATAGTTGGGATTCCTGTTTTTTTATATTAGTATTAGTAAGTATTGTCACGTCCAGTAAAATATTAAAAAATACATTAAATAAATTAATATACTTTTAAATAATTCCTAGATTAAAAATAATTATCTCTAATAGAAAATCTCAATAATCTCTTAAATGTAAATATATCCTTAAGTAAATAATATGGTATACATTTCATAACAAAAACATAGACGTTGAACTATTACCGACCTGAATTAATTGTGTCGAATTAAAGAAGTAGCAAATTCAGCAAATAGTTAATAGGTATAAATTCGACACTGATTACTGTTACGAGGACAGTTCTCCTATTGCTGTACTGAGAGGTATCTAAAGTAATAGATACCTTTTAGTTTGGGGTAAGCGTCGTGACGTGCCACTAACGGGGATGTTTTGGTAAGGCCTTTTATATTGTATATTATAATTATCTATTTTACATTTTGAATATTGATTATTTATTGATGAATAAAATTGTTATGTTTTAACTCGACTTTTATTTCATAAAGAAAGGTAGCCCGAATTAATAACATTAAATAATTCTTTCGACCCATAGAAAAGGGGGTCGTGACATATGGTGGAGGCGCCGGTTTAAAAATCTCGAAGGGTTAATTCTTCCTAATTAACTCCTTATTGTATCTTTAATAAAAATTAAAAAAAAAAATACTAAATCACACAGCTACCTCACTTTATGAAATTAAATTTTCCTAAAAGGTTCAATTTCAAATTTTTCTTTTTTTAAAAGGCAGAGTTACAAATTTTTTGTTTTGTAATTTGTATTAACATTTTTTTGCCTAAATACAAGGGTTGTACGATAGTTAACGCAGGTGTTTTTACCGTATTTTTGCTTCTTGAAACTTATCTCTTGGTGATCAAACCCTGAGATAAGGTTCCCAATTTTCCTAGTTAAACCTTCGGTGTGATTAGACATAGAGGGAATAACTAAATACACACCAATCGATACGAATACCTTTCTTTCTGTGTGATCAGACATTGAAGCGAAGGTATTCCGGGGGCACAACACGGTTACGTATCCCTTGTGTGATCAGACATTAGGGATAGGTGACAAACACCCCGCTGATAGAGATTGAGTGTGTTAAAAAATCAGTAAAAATCCCAATCTGTAAGAAAATTAGTTTTTTCTGTGTGACCAGACATTGAATAAACAGATTTTCAAGGCCCAGATACCGACCAACACCTCTTGTGTGATCAGACAGGGGTAGTGGAAGGATGTCTCGCCGCTGAAGATTGGGATAAGTTAAACGCGAATTGTTACATCTGTGAAGGCTGTTAAACAACTCATTCAAATCAATTCAAGGGAATTTTTAATAAAATTAATCAAAAGTTAGAAGATTAGGGGCATTAATTATAAGAAAATGGTTACATAACACTAATGCGAAGGAAGCGGTCCATGCAAGCCGGGATCTTCCTCGCTATGATCCGTGGATCTGAATTAGAACTAATCTCAATAAATAATTCGTAGCACAGGTCTTAAATTAGTAATTTATTATGGTTTTAATTTATACACATAAACGATCTAGATTTTTTCTTTTTATTATTTTATATTTATCCATATGTATTTCACGTACTAACATTATTTTTGTGCAGGATAATAGTATTTTTCGGTATCATCATCAATAACTGTAACAAGGACCAAAGGTATCTGCTAGTATGTTTTGCATACCATTATTTGAAAAAGTAGCTTACGTTGCTACTATTTCAATAATCAATAGTCCTAGGACATTCATGGGAAATTAAAAGCTATATCAAGCTAGCGGGCACTCTGTGGCGGCACCATACAAGACCTGGTGGGTTTTTTGTAGCTTTTTTGTTACGCTATTTGCGAATTTGTAGCTTTGCCCAGATCCGAAAAAACAGCGGATCCGCTAGCTTGAATTTCCATAAATTCCATAGTAGCGGCACAGATTCAGACCCAGCTGGTTTTTCGTAACTTTTTTGTAGCTTTTTTGTTACGCTAGTCTCCCTTTTGTAGCTTGTACTGAACCTGAGAAAAGCGCGGATCCGCTAGCTTAGCGGATATTTTTAGCGGCACCATCTCGGACCAGGCTCATTTTTTGTAACTTTTTTGTAGCTTTTTTGTTACACCTGTCTCAATTTCGTTGCGAGGCCTGAACTTGAGTAATAATCGTTTCTCCATGAGCGTGAGAGAAAAGTGCGTTAATTAAAATCAAGTTTCAGCCTCTACAAGTAATAGGTGCAACTCGATAGTGTGACTATTTGTTGATAGATGGCACCAGTATTGCATTTCACGAATTATGGCCATCTTCCATCCAATATATTTTTGAGAAATTTAAATATAATCTCAAAATCGGACATTTTCAACGGTATGTATATTAATTATTTGTTCGATATTAATGTAAAATACATATTGACAAGATTATTATAATAGTTGTATGCCGGACGCCACTATTTTCCCGATCGGGTGTTTTCGGTTATTTTACTGCTAAAAACTTACTGCTAACTTCACACCGGTGGTAATAGCTACCAAGCAATTACCAGGTCTTTTCCTTTGCATCGAAAGTGTAGCACTGAGCTACACCACTTCTGAAAATATCGTTCCATTTATACAAATTGTATGGATGGAACGACATTTTCAGAAGTAACGTAGCTCAATGCTACACTGTCGATGCAAAGGAAAAGACCTACTTATTCTCACTGTATACATGGTGTTCCATCTAAGACGAGCCACCCCGTATAGTAGTATCCCATAGTAATGGGCCATGTTCACATGTGAGATATGCTGTTTTATAAATTATATTGTAATAGTTAGTCGCTATACAAGTTATTCTAAATAATCAGTTCGTTAAAAAAGCCAAAAGTTTTTAAATTAAGCAAAATTGAAATTTAAAATTTGAAATGTATACGTCATCGGGAATAGACCAATCAGCTTGTGTCGAAGTTTTTTTTTTGTTATACAAAACCAAGCCAACGAACAAACCGACACACAGAAGGCGAGTTCGGTTAGTCAGGGGCAGGAGCAGGACAAAAGCGGAGTTTTTTAGGGTACTTTTAAATGACATTTAAGCGTGTTAAACTGTCACTAATTGGACTAAACCCAATGAAGTGGAGAGGGGTAAAATGATAACTGTCAATGAAAAAGTCTGGACACTATGCACAATTTCGTTTTGCCCATTTTGTAAACAAAATTCAGAGACGGTTTAACAACATTTTGTGCAACAATTATAAAATAGTGCATCGAAAAATAATTAACAAGTATAATTTAATACTAAATCGGAATAAAAGCATAAAAAATCATAAATATAAGCAAGATAACAAAGAATTGACGCCAAAAAATCTTACAACAGCCAAAACACAAACAAAAAACAGAGCTGAACATGAACATAATCGCTGAATAAAGTCGATCCTGGAATTTGTTTACAGTGCTTTAGGGCAACCTCTCCTTGTCATTTACGTGTGTAAGAGTGGAAGGCTGAATCACGCATAATTTCTACACTCGTGATGCATGCGCAGACGGTACCTTATCGTTCTACCCTCTCTACTTCTTTGGATTATATCTAAATTTCTCAAAAATATATTGGATGGAAGATGGCCATAATTCGTGAAATGCAATACTGGTGCCATCTATCAACAGATAGTTACACTATCGAGTTGCACATATTACTTGTAGAGGCTGAAACTTGATTTTAATTAACGCACTTTTCTCTCACGCTCATGGAGAAACGATTATTACTCACGTTCAGGCCTCGCAACGAAATGGAGACAGGCGTAACAAAAAAGCTACAAAAAAGTTGCAAAAAATGAGCCTGGTCCGAGCTAGTGCCGCTAAAAATATCCGCTAAGCTAGCGGATCCGCGCTTTTCTCAGGTTCAGTACAAGCTACAAAAGGGAGACTAGCGTAACAAAAAAGCTACAAAAAAGTTACGAAAAACCAGCTGGGTCTGAATCTGTGCCGCTACTATGGAATTTATGGAAATTCAAGCTAGCGGATCCGCTGTTTTTTCGGACCTGGGCAAAGCTACAAATTCGCAAATAGCGTAACAAAAGGGCTACAAAAAACCCACCAGGTCTTGTATGGTGCCGCCACAGAGTGCCCGCTAGCTTGATAGAGCCGAAATTAAATTATTTTTGGAGTACTGTCTTCGGTAATGATAAAATACTTAAGTGGTTCAGGCCGAGTCAATAAGAAAAAAGAAGAATTCTGTTCATCTCATCTGTCAGTACCGAGAGGGAACATACCGAAACAGAATTGAGATGTGCCAGGGACGGACTTAGCTTCAGTGTCCAATAGTGTTCAAATCGGTCGAACATTATTTGAGAGATGGATTTTAATAAAAAAAACAAGTGTGTGAGTGAGCGTAAAAAATAAAAAGACTTAATAGAGTAGTAATTTTTTTTTTTTTTTAATTTTTGAATATTTTTTTTTTATATAAACGAGTTATAATTATTTTTTTTTATATAAACGAGTTATAATTATTTTTTTATTCAATTAGACAATTTATATATTTACTTATTCATTTTTAAATAATTTGTTTTTTTTTTATTTTGTTTTGTATGTATTGTATATACCCTTTTTTACACATTTGTATGACAACATATTTGTCACTTTTAAAACCGGGGTCCGGTTTTCTTGGAGGAGAGGCATGTCACAATTATTCCTTAAATGGAATTAAATTATTTTTATTCGACTCAGTAAATAATTTAACATCCTGTATGTTAAATTATTTCTGAATAGTAGGTCGATTTCGAAATACTTTTAAATCGTAGAGAATGCATTTCATAGTTTCAAAACAATTAAGTTACAAACTAATGAACTTTGTGCTGACTCGGGGATTTTGGAAGTCTTGCGAAATCGAACCTAGTCGGTTTTTTTTAGGGGGTCATGAGAGTTTTGCGGGACGGCAAAAAAGGTGGTCGCAATCGATCACAGGGAAAATAATTGGGGTTTGTAAAATATATATAACATAAAAATATAATTATATAAAATAAATACTAATAAATATTTCTGGGGATAAAATAAAATAAAGTAAAGTAAAAATTGTGACTGCTCCATGACAATGAGGTAAGGACCCCAAATTTTATTATTAATATTATTATATCGATTTTTGATTATGTCTTTTGAGTCCTTTGATTACGGACATTTAATAAAGTGTTTGTGAATTTTTTATACATGGTGTTTCTATTATTACTAGTTTAGTTCCTTATACGGTAATTTAAGTCACCCGAGGTTTATCTTAAGTGGCGCAGATTCCTTCTAAACCAAGAAGCTAATCTGAGCTTTTTGAGATTAACATCGGCTAGAGCGCGCTTAGCGGAAGTGGGTTGCGATTGTCTATTTTTACATCTCAAGCCAAGCGAGGACCCCTAATCACATTAAAAAGAATAATTACCACCTCCTAGCCGTTAAGCGTGACAGTATATATACAAAGATGGAAGTGTTAGGATTTTAAAGTCATGAAAAAGTTGTTTGCAGCTAGTTGTTCTTGACACCCCAGCCATGCATCTTGTAACTTTTTTTGTACACAGACGGCTCGCTTCAGATGAGCTGAGCAGCTCCAAAAAATTAGACTGAGATAATTGATTCAACCAAACCAAAATATGTTAATTTTAAAACATCGGGATTTACAGTGTTTTTTAACTGCCTCATTAGAAAACATACACTACTTAGTTTATTTGATACATGATCTTCATGGTTCTCCCGCGTTAACTTGCTGTCCAAAATTAGACCTAAGAATTTGCTCGAATTTGTTTGTATCAATGATTGATGATTTAGTTTAAGGAGATAGCTGAAGCCGTTTGTCATATTTTTTTGTAGAAAGGTCATGATTTGAGATTTTTTTACATTAACATTTAAGCCGTGTGAAATACAATAACTATAAAATTCATGTGCTTATTAGCAATATATTGAAGTGCAGATGCATTTTTTGGTGCTGCTCCAAAAGTTGTGTTATCTGCATATATAATTTTGGTACTTTGACTTGTACAAGATAGAGCTAAGTCATTAATAAAAACTAAAAATAAAACAGGGCCCAATATTGAGCCCAGCGGTACTCCCGTTGTCACATTTCGACTATTTGATTTACTGCATCCGATGGTTACAACTTGTTCACGGTTGTTTAGATATGACTGTATCCACTTATTTGGCGGGCCCCTTATACCTATTCGGTACAATTTATCTACTAGCCAGTCGATGGTCAATTGAGTCAAAGGCTCGTGAGGTCGAAGTATAAGGTAATATTTAATTGTTATTTAGATGTGTAAACAACATATATCTACTTTTTCTTTTTTAAAATTTGTTCTAGCTCACTAATTTTTTTCTGCATACCTTGTATATTGAAATACATTAGTATGAAGTTTTTGTTACCATGATTTTTTGACAGATGTTCTTCATTAATTCTGATTTCTTCAGTCTTGGTGTTTTTGTTGTCATATTCTCTTGTTTGGATTATGTTGTGACTGGCATTTGATTGGCATCCGGAAAATTCTCATTTAGTAGATTTGCTTCCTGGTTGTTCTTCTTTTCTAAAGCCATAACGGTAGACTGCTACCCCCACGTAGCCAGAAACTTCCAATGTACGCCTGTTCCATAAGATTATATTGCATGCTGGTCTTAAAACATTTGTTATTAGCAGTTTTTTTTTTATATGTTGATAATTCCTTCACAGATAACAGATCTTTTCTGTCACACTTTTTTTCTAGATGTGTTATGACCTTTTTTCTGTAACCTGTGACGTGATCTTTAATCTTGCTAATAAAAGCCACAATCGTTTTTCTTTAGCTCTTCCTACAAAACTGTTCCGCATCATTTACTTCTGCTACACCAATATGGCATCTCGGTTGTGTTCTTTTACTGTTTCGAATGGCATTTCTTGATTTTTAAAATGTTGTGTATTTATTGCATCAGGATTTGCATCATTCGTACCATTTATTAACTCAGTCATAATAGCTAATTATCCTTTTTCTAAGTTTTCACAAGTTTTCTTAGTTACTATTTTCTTTGCTTCAGCATAATCGGTTTTTTGTTTATTTACTTGGTTACTAATATTTTGTTTCTTATTTCTTTGTAGAACTTGGGGACTAGGGATTCCCTTTTTTTGGTAATTAAGTTTATCTATAGTTGACCTAGAAACAGGTACTTCGTTATCGGCACTAAACAAGTTTTTTTTGTTTCTTATCTTTGTTTTCTATTTTATCGGCTTTAGATTTCAATTCATTAAATTTTAATTGTAGATCAAAGTATTTAATTTTTTCGATTTTAATTTCATTTTCCAGAGATACAATTTTGTCGTTCATTAGTTGGTTAGTAGTTTTATGTTCTATTACTAATAATTTTAAATTATTGTAGGCTTCAATGCGAAAATTGTCACTTTTGGTTTCCACTTCATAGTCTGGCTTTTTAAGGTTTTTTGGTTTAGAGCATCTAACAACAGGATTCACTCTTTGTGCACACGATGGATGGTATTTTAAATCACAAATTTGCCTGCTATATTAAGTTCTAGAAAACATCAAATATTGCTTTTAAACTCGGCTTGTGAAGAAAGTTGAGCAATTTACGACCTGAGCCATAAATACTTATGTCAAATTAATTATATAATCAAATATGTGACATCATTTTCTACAACGACTTTTTTTAGACACCATCATCGAGCGCTGGTGTGTCTGCAGCAAAGTAATTCCCATCTTTTACAAGGAAATAATGAACGATAAATGTGTAAATTAGCCTTGAGTAATCGTGTACCAAAAAAGTATCTCGAATGGCCATTTGCCTGAGCCACAAATAAAAAAAAGCCATTTACTTAACTTAAAAAATGTAGAATAATACGTACCAGTATTTACAATAAAAGTTCAAGTTAACGTCATAAAGGCAATTTGATTATTTCAACATCAAAAAATGCTCACTGATTTATTTTTTTGTTGCACCATTGTTCATGAATATAAATTTGTCGGGTATTGAATTTTAGTTTATTGAAGCGTTCTTCGAATATAACAAGCGAAAATAAGTTATATTATTCAAATGCTGGCAACCATTAGTTGCGGCAGTTTTTGCTCAGGCAACCATATTCCATGATATAGAAATCAAAATTTTTTTGAATTTGGTATTAAACTATTCTTCATATATAATAAATGTAGCTAATTAAAGATAAATTACATTTTTGTACCTGGCTGCTAAGGGTTGCAAATAAAACGAAATTGTTTCAACACAAAAATTACAAATGTATTTTGCACACAAAACCAATATATATTTTTCTATTTAGTTTTTTGCAGTATATACGCCAAAACCAAAATTTTTATTTGGTTTCCACGGTGAATTATCTCATGATGACTATAATCTTGTGGGAGTAGCAGATGATGATTTTCTACAATTTTTAACAGACTTACATGTCTCTGGAGCTCTAAATAACACTATTCTAATACTCATGGCAGATCATGGACACAGGTTAGATATTTTTTAATTATAAGTAGAGATATTTAAAGTAACATAAATATTTAATTTCTGTTATGTTGACTATTTCCACAAATCACCCAACCTCCAGATATTCAGTGCTGTCAATATATTGGAATATACATGAAATGTTAGGCCAATCTTAATTTTCTCTCTCTGTTTGATTTTAGTGTATAATAAATTTAATAATTTAACAATACTGTCTTTGGTGCTGTTTTTGTTCTATTTATTATGAATTAATAAATTTTAGATTTGCCGAAATAAGAAATACCCTTCAAGGTAAACAAGAAGAACGTTTGCCATTTTTTTCGTTCACTTTTCCCAAGTGGTTCAAAGACAAATACAAATATATTTATAATAATTTCAAAAGCAACTTGGATAAACTCACAACTCCTTTCGATATTTATTCTACATTAAAAGATATATTACATCTGAAAGACGTCGGTGCTGCAGATATTAGCCAGAGATCCGTTTCGCTTTTTTCAAAAGTAAGTTTTTTTATATGTGTTTATTATTGCAATGTTACACCTGGTCGAGAACGACCAACCAGCAATTTTGTCTCGGACTAATCCATCTAAAAAATTATTAACCTTAAAAGAGATATCACCCATTAGTGTTTCTTAGGTCATGACTGTAAACTTTTACTTAACTATAATACGAGGTCCAAAGGTTTCGTTTTACTCTTTTTCTTCTATGCCATGTTGATCGAGTAAGCTGAAGCTTCTCGGTTTTAACATAATTTTAAAGTCTCTTTTCGTGCTTTTATGCAAATCTCCTAATTTCGTTCTCAGCCTTTATTATGTTGAGGTCCCTGTGCAGGTTTGTGTTTTGAATATGAAATGGAGTGCACAATGTTAGAAAATACTTTATTTTGGAATGGATGCTATGTTAGTTATTCTGGCACAGCCCCAGAGCTGTAAAAGCTATATAATATGTCCAAATGAGTTTTAGAATCATCTTCTATATAAGTAGCTTCTTATATATTGTCATTTGTGTCTATGAACCGATTAAATTTTCTATATCTCACGTCTAATTCTTTCCTTTTCTTTGTCACATGCTCCTTCCATCTCAGCTTTGCTCCAAGTTTTTAGATTATATTTTTGTTCCCTAGTTAGCTGATAGGTTTCTGTTAAAAGAGTTTTTCTTTTGGTCTATATTATGTGATTTCAGGCTGATGTATATATGTTTCCAAGTTTTCTGATTCTGGTTCCAGTTGCTGTATTGTCCTCAAAAGAACATTATGTTATATTCTATTATGTAGTTCTTGTTTCCAGTTTTGTTTATTAATTTAATATTTGGTCATATTTATTCATTATTATATTTTTACTTAACGTCATTTTTGTGAGAGAACAACCAGACGTAAGATCAAAAGCATCCTCCATTTGATTAATAGATCAAGATATTTTATACAATCAGTTTTATTTAAAAATTCATTACCAATTAATAAAATTATTTAATATCATTCACTATCATTAGAAATTACCATAAAGTTTGATTTATTTATGTTTAAACATAGTTTATGATAACTAAGCCAATCCTTTATAAGGAGCAGGTCATGTTCAACATAATTTTTTATCTGATCTTTATTTTTGTTAAAATATGTTATGCCTTATCATCGACAAACAACTGAAGGTCACCTTTGAGTGGTAGTTTAGAAATAAAGTTGATATAAATTAGGAACAGAGTTGGTCGAGTATTGATCTTTGTGGTACTTCACGTACAATATCTGACATATTATTATCCAGACCATTTGCGTGAACATATTGGATGCGACCCTCAAACTAGTCCTTAAACCAATCAAGTGATTTGCCTCAAACTCCAATATTTTCCAGGAGTCTGAGCAACATGCTGTGATTCACAGTATCAAATGCCTTTTTAAAATCCAATGATATAAATATACATCCCAATCCCTTTTCTCTTTTGTCCAGAAAACTAGTAATTAAGGGGGGGGGGGTAACGTTAATTCGTGCAAGGGACATTTTTGTGATTTTTTTTTATGACAGTTAAAATCTGTTTATTAAAACCAATGGTACATTCAAGGAAAACATTCAAAGAATATTGTGTCAAATTTTCATGAAGAAATTTTAAAAGATGCGGAAATGGCAGCAATTATTAGCAAGTATAAAATAACTAAAAATCTAACACATTATGAATATTATAAACAATTAAAAAAATTTACCACGGTGGCTATTAGAAATGAAAAGAAAGGTTATCTAAAATATTGCGTTGATACATTTGGTAGAAACAGTCGTATTATGTGGCAAAAACTTAAGAATATATGGTATAAAAAATACGAAAAAATAAGTCACAAAGTAATTGAAACTAATTGGTTAAATATGGAAACTAGAAGGAATTTACACATCGCACACTCAGTAATAAAGTGGCATAACTTAAATTTGCATGTTTACACTTTTAGTCGTAAAACGGTCCAAAATGGCGCCCTCCATATGTACAACTTTTTAAATGACGGTGTTACTTCAACGCAGTACGTCTTGAGTTAGAGCAGCACCTTCATTTAAGAAGCTCCACATATGGAGGGCGCCATTTTGTGCTGTTTTACGATTAAAAGTTTAAACATGCAAATGTTGAGTTATGCCACTTTATTATTAAGTGTGCGACATGGTAACATTGTATCATAAGATCATTTTAATAAAGTCACCTCCTTATTTCTATAACAAAAATACATTTGGAAGTGATGTGCATAATGTGCATACTGTTAGCAGGAGGTAAATAACGCAGAGGAATGTAACAACCAACTGTCTGAAGGACCAACGCTCGTCACCAAATGTAACAACCAACTGCCTAAAGACCATTTGTAACTACTGATAGGTCTTTAGCTACTGTTGTTAATATACTATTAAGGGATTAGGGCAGCGCCGTCACCATCCAAAGGGTCCTGGAGTCCTAAAGGAACATCCATTCACCAGTAGCAAATAAAAATAATAAAAAAAATTAAATTAAAAGAAAAAAACAATCATCCCTTAATAGCATAGTCGTGCGGTTCTTGGCAACTAGTTTTAGATTCTTTTAGTCCTAAGGGAATAGAAACGCCGAGGCTTCTCAAATGCTCGGAGTATTTTGCTGGTTTGGAAAAGGAGGAGAGATTAATAATTAAGTATTAAAACATTAACAAATGTATATTAACAATAAATATAAAATTTGACAAATAGTCTTAAGAAAAAAATGAATAAAATTCCATTTAGGGAATAAAGCACAATAACTACATAGTAATATAAAGGTATGCATAAGATAAATATAATTCGGGACTAAAATTAGCATTTATATGAAAATCAATCAATTATTATTAAACAAAACACTTTAAAATTAAGTTGAAATATTCACCCATAATTCACATCGTACACAAAACTTTACTGTACACATTACTTTACAATACAAAACGAGAGCTTTCGCCCCTGGGGTGGAAGTTCTGGACCTTAGTCCGAACTCGACTGAGAGTTTACCCAAGCGATCCTTTCTTTCTGTCTCCTCTCTATATAAACCAAAATTTACGTGATGGTTGGTTGTATTTAAAAATGTCACGCTCAATGTAGATTAATAACCTGAAGGTTTGTTTCATTTTCATACGTGTCTTTTTAATTATTTAATTTAAACATTAAATACTTATTTAGAATTTTTGGTAAATTCTTTAGATTTTTTCAAATAATAATAATGCCAATTATTACAGGAATATGGAGCAAATACAAATTTATTATAAATACGTAAACTGACAGTAATATCAAATTATTTCAAACTCTTATCTATTTTTATTATAACATTCAAACTAGGTATCTACGGAAACGCACTTAGATCTATAGCATAGATGTAGCTCATCTAACACTTTCCCTCGATTCGTAGAGACCTCTAAACTAGGTTATTATGTAATTCCTAATTGGGTAACAAATTTCTCGTGCTTGCACTTTGATAGTCACTTAGTTTGCCACCATAGCATCCGTCGGTACATGCTATAAGAAAATTTGTTCATTCTTGATTGCTTCTCTAATGAAATGGTACTTGATATCGATATGCTTGCTTCTGACGTGATATACGCTATTTTCAGCTAATTTTAGGGATGATAGGTTGTCATTACAGATTTCTATACCATTTTCAGATCCAAATCCTAGTTCAGCCAACAATCTCTTCAGATGGATTGCTTCTTTAGCAGCTTCTGTGAGACCCATGTATTCAGCTTCTGTTGATGAAAGAGCAACTGTTCTTTGCTTCTTTACTTCCCAAGATATAGGTCCACCAATCAACATAAAAACGAAGCCAGTGAATGAGCTCCTATCGTCTGGGCAATTGCCCCAATCAGCATCGACATATCCCCGCAAAGATAAACAATCAGCTTCGAAGCTTATCCCTTTGTCCATGGTACCTCGCAAATATCGTAAAATGCGCTTTGCTGCCGACCAGTGTGACTTTCCATGACAGTTGTTGAACTGACTTAAATAAGTGACAGCAAAACTAAAGTCGAGTCTTGATGTGACTGCTAAATGAGTAAGGGAACCAATAAGTTCACGGAACGAGTAGGTTTCGTCACAGTCACTTTGTTCTCGTATGAGTCGCGTTCCAAGCTCTAGCGGAGTTGCAACGGGTTTATCTTCTGACATACCAAAACGACTAAGGATATCAAGTATAAAACCCTTCTGTTTTAGAATTAATTTTCCATCACTGCGATCAAATTCCAATCCTAAACAGCGACGTAGTTCTCCAAATGTTTTATGTCAAATGTCTTCAATAATTAATTTTTGAATTCCGTGATGTACTCTTCTTTAGGGCTCGCCATAATTATGTCGTCTACGTATATGACAATGAATGCTGACTCTTCCCCTTTGTCGATATGGTAGACGCATGATCAGATTCGGTCGGTGTAGCTCCTAAGTTCTGTATGGTGTGATCTAGTTTTATATTACAATTTCTTCCTGCTTGCTTAAGTCCATACAGTGACTTTTTTAGTAAACAAATTTTCTCAGGATCTTTGATATTGTCTTTCCATATTTCTGCCTTCTTTCTGATTAGTGATAGCTCACTTTCATGTTGGATTATGTACTCTAATGTTTCTTGGAACAATTTGGGCTTTTCCATAAAAATTTCTTCATTTAAATCTACGTTTAAGTAAGCATTAGTCACGTCAAATTGGTGAATGTACATCTTTTGATGAATAGCTAAGGATATTATTGGTCTAATCGAGTTTATTGTTGCCACTCACTGGTGCGAAAGTCTGATTAAAATCCTTGAGCTACCAGTCTGGCTTTCCGCTTTATTCCGTCAGGGGTATATTTATTTCTTAGGATCATTCTACAACCTATAACATTCTTATTCTTAGGTCGTTTAATCATTACCCAAGTATCATTCTTTTTTAAAGACTTCATTTAATTTGCCATTGCTTCATACCATTCACATGCTTTCGGACTATGTAGTGCTTGCATCATAGGTATTTCTGACAAGAATGTATACTCATTTGAATAATACGAATTTTCTTTTACGGTTTGGTACTCCTTTCGTGGTCTTCCAAGTGATCCTGTTCTTATTAATCTCGGTATTCCCCTTCATCTTCTTAACTTTTCTGCACAATATCTTTTGTTTTCTTGACAATCAGTAGCCAGACTCTGTTGGTCTTCTACAGTGTTTTCCTCAATGATTTCATCTTCTTGTAAATCGTCAATTATTTTCTCTGGTTTATTCCCTACTTCTGTTATTTCTGGTTGACTTAGTTCGATTTCGGCGTATTGTGGACTTTGTGAAATATCGTTTGGAATTAATTCTGAATAAGTATTACAATTTATGTCGAAATTTTTTATGAATTTGATATCTCGTGATATTTCTACTTTCTTTTCTTTGGAAATCCACACTCTGTATCCTTTACACTGTTCAGAGTATCCCAAAAATCTTCCTTCTTTACATCGTGAGGCAAATTTACCTTTTTCTTTATTATTTAAGCAAAATACTTGGCAACCAAATTCTTTGAAATAGCTCGACAAACATATTTAAGCAAAAGTACAAACATCTCTTGATGTCGGAAAATATCTAGACAAACCAACCTTTAAAAATTATAATACAACTAGCTATTGCCCGCGGCTTTGCTCGCGACTTTCCTCGCACGTAGTCGTGTTATAAAAATATATGACTTCCTTTTTTATTAGTTTTATTGATTTTTATTTATTTTTGTTCATTTTTTGTATTTATTTATTTTTACTGATTTTTGTTCATTTTTATTCATTTTTATTCATTTTTATTCATTTTTATTCATTTTTATTCATTTTTATTCATTTTTATTCATTTTTATTCATTTTTATTCACTTTTATTCATTTTTATTTACTTTTATTCACTTTTATTCATTTTTATTCAGTTTTATTCATTTTTATTCATTTTTATTTATTTTTATTAATTTTTATTCATTTTTATTCATTTTTATTCATTTTCTTTCATTTTTATTCATTTTTATTCGGTTTAATAATTTTTATTCATTTTTATTTATTTTTATCCATTTCTATTCATTTTTATTCAATTTTATTCATTTTTATTAATTTTTAATAATTTTTTAATTTTTATTCATTTTTTTTAATGTTTATTCATTTTTAATAATTTTTATTCATTTTTATTCATTTTTATTCATTTTTATTTATTTTTATTCATTTTTATTCATTTTTATTTATTTTTATTAATTTTTAATGATTTTTATTTATTTTTATTAATTTTTATTTATTTTTATTTATTTTAAATAATTTTTATTGATTTTTATTAATTTTTATTATTTTTTATTAATTTTTATTAATTTTTATTAATTTTTATTAATTTTTATTAATTTTTATTATTTTTCATTAATTTTTATTAATTTTTAGTAATCTGTATTAATTTTTAATATATATTTTTTTTAATTTTAGTTTATTTTTATAATACTACCATACAAAAATCTAACCACAGAGCACGTCATTATTTATTTATGCTACAATTATAATTTTCAAGTTCCAACGTTCAAAAAATTTATACTTTTATACAAATTTTTACCCCCGTTCCCCCTCTTAAAATGTGAAAATCCAAAAACCATGAAACACATTTTTGATTTTTAATCAGTAGCTGTAATTTAAATTTCAGTTTCAAACTTTAAATAACAAAAAAATATATACATACTATTAAAAAATTTTGCCCCCCCCCCCCCATTTACCCCCTTAAAATGTTAAAATGCAAAAATCTTGAAACACTTCATTATTTATTTGTGATGAGAACCTACAATTCCAATTTTCAAGTTCCTACCTTTAAAAAAATCGATATCTCCAAATAAACTTTCATCCCCATTTCCCCCCTTAAAATGTGAAAATCCAAAAACCCTAAAACACGTCATTATTAATTTGTATTCATTAGCTGCAATTCCAATTTTCATGTTTCTAACTTTAAAGAGAACCAAAAACATAGATACTCCCAAATAAATGTTCACCCCCCCCCATTTCCCCCCCTTAGAATGTGAAAATCCAAAAACCTTTAAACACGTCATTAATAATTTGTAGTCAGTAGCTGCAATTCCAATTTTCATGTTTCTAACTTCAAAGGGAACAAAAAAACCCTGAAACACGCCATTATTTATTTATTTATTTATGCTTAGTAGCTGTAATTTAAATTTTCATGTTTCTAACTTTAAAGAACAAAGAGTTTCATTAAAAGCTCCCTCCCCCCATTTCCTCCAATTTCCTCCCTTTAAAGTTAAAATTTTGAAAAATCCTTTCTTAGCGGATGCTTACGTTATAAAATAAACCTATGTTCCAAATTTCAGCTTTCTAGGCTCAGTAGTTTTGGCTGTAGGTTGATAGGTCAGTCAGTCAGTCAGTCAGGACAAACAATTTTATATATATAGATGTAATATTACATTTTTTATAAAATTTATATTTATACTTTTGGCTCGATTGTGCTACAATTTATTGTTTGTATTTTATTATTTTTTTGTTCTCTATTAGGGATAACAATTAATATCTGCAATTCTTTTTTGTGGTATTATACTATTTTTTAATAAAATGTATGTACTCAATGCAACTTTACCTGTAATACTGCAAATAAATTATTATTTATTTATTTAAATAAAAAAATCAAAGTTCTTTCGTTAGATAATCGTTTTCCCCAGGTAACGCTGGGAGGGTGTTTCGAAATTTCAATTTTTAATTCATGCGAAAAAATCGGCTGTTTTGTTATTTTAAAATAAATAAAAAAAATATTAACAAATTTCAAAAAACTCCAGCGTTACCTCGTAAATTATGTACAGAAATAGTGTGCAAAATTATAAAAGTTATGAGAGGCACCGACTTTGGAAACGTGAGTTGTGGGAAAAACGCTTTAAAGTTTTGAACACTAAAACATTTGGAATCAAACGTTCATAGCGAGTTTTATCGGTTTTTCTCATACTGAATCATCGATGCCAGGTCCATAAAGGATGTTGCTATCATCCATAATGTCTAAAGTATCATCCTATTACTCACAGATTTATTTTTCGAAAATTGCAAGATTTGATACATGTAGTCGCTAATATCTCCGTCAATGATAGCTAGATTGTGTAATTTTCACAAATCCATTGGAAAAAATTGAATTTAATGTTTCGTTATTAAGCAGATAGTCGATATTAAAATCATTGAAGATCCAACATTTCTTCCTGTCTTCATTTAAGATTTTAGAGAAAGAATTTATGTATTACCAACTTAATTGTTTTTTAGATACCGCCTTCAAGAAGTTGCGCTAGTGCACACATAGAACCACATTGGTGCGCTTGCTTAGACTGGCGAGAAATCCCCCTCTCCGATCCCATAGTAAAAAGAATAGCCGAAAAATTAACAAACACTATAAATTCTTACACAAGCGAGTACCGAAATTTTTGTGAATTCTTAACAATCTGGGAAGTATATTGGGTAACAAAAATGGAACCTAACGAAAATTTACTCAGATACAAGAAGACCTTGGACGTGGATGGATTTGTTGCGGACTTATCAGCGAAAATTGATATAAGAGAAGATGCATATCAAATCAAGGCGATGATGGTTCCTGGAAATGGCCTTTTCGAGGCTAGTGTTACGCACGAGTTGATCATTGACAGTTTCAAATTAAAAATCAGCGATATAAGTCGGATAAATTTGTACGGAACTCAGGCGAGATGCATTGAAAACGATCTGCCTCATTTGAGAAAATACTGTTGTTGTAAAGATGTATAAAAAGTGATCGAGGAAAAAAATCAAAATTACCATTATGTTTTTATATATATATAGCGTGGTACAATATACGTTCGGAGCATAGCTGCAAAACTAGCAAGAGTTAGAAAAACCTACAGTATTATACAACTCCAAAAAAGCTACAGTTATAAAATAATTTCGACTATATAGTGTTCCATAACTAAAGAACGTGTATTAAGTTCATTTTTGCAAATTGAAAGTCCTAAATAACTAAATGTTAAATCTAGGATATCAAAACTAACCAAATTAAGGGCTTATTGGGGTAATAAACAATTATATTTTACTCTTACATCTGACACACACAAATTCGCAGCTCAAACTAATAAAAATATTGTAAATAACGCAATGCAACAATTCAAGAGACATTCAAAAAATTCTAAATTAACTGTCAAACGATAGTAAAACTGACTATTCACTCTGAGGAGCCACTAAAAGACTAAAAAAAAAAAACAACCTTGTAGAATCCACCAATTAAAAATGCAGATGACACATGGACAAAAAGCTAATAGATTTCCAACCAAATGAGGATGAAAACACTCTTGATTGATCAAACATTATGGCGAACCGGATGTTATTTAACGTAACCTTCATTTTCATTTGTCATTTAATTTTTATTTTTACTTATTACTATAATTAATATATATTATATTATTTATAAGAATAGACAGACTCTAAAATCAAATTTCATCAAAATAATGGTACAAAACAATAACTTACCTGGTATATTATTACAAAATTTTCTGTGGTTATTTTGGCAAATCAAGAAGTTCAATACAATAGTTAAAAAAGATTTTTCTAAATTAATTTATTTATGTTCAAGTTATATGATTTTTTTAAAAACTCATGTTTACGGGAAAATAAAAACAAATAAAAAACTAAAGGTAATATCGTACCTTTATCAAAATTGCTCTTATATATAGAATACAGAGTAATTTAAAAAAAAAAACAGTAAATTTTTTAAATATCCTGGTTAATTAAAATATTAATAGAATAAATATCATCACTATTGACCTACATAATGCTGCTATGCAAAAAGAGATAAAATATGACCCACCCTGTCTGTATACTTTGTTTGGTTATCGAGGTAAAGAAATAAGTAGAAACTATATGAATTAAACTTGTATTTAAACTGGTTATCAAATTATAAATAATTAACAAAAGATCATGCTCTAGGGTTAGAATGTTCCCGCGCTCTGTCATTTGTCACACACTTCATCGGATCTAAATAAAGAATTCGCAGTGTTGCCAGGTCCCTGACAGTACATACTCAACGATTAATAACAATTAATTATTATTAGCAAAATTTAAATTAAAAGACTCACCTTTTGAAGCCACATATTCCATCTAAAACAACGTACAAAAAAAATATCAATAAAAATAAAAATAAACCATTAATTCAGTAGAATATTAAATTAATAAGTTTTTCACGGACAAAACTAAATTCATGTCAAAATACTCACCATTTGATGCCGCTCATTCCTGCTTCATTCTCTGTTCCATTTGTTGTTCCAAAATGTCTTATCGCTTCTCCATAATATCCATTATTTCCAGTAGATTTTCCCGATTTAAGCGCGTCCGGAAAAATCTTCTATACCCGACGACATTAACGACCATCGCATCATGTTCAATTCTATATCAACCCTTCGATACGTGGATGTATATCTGGGTAGTATATCTGCAGCCTTGTCCATTTGATCCCAAAAAGTACATCCCATAGGATATAAATTCTAAGAACAAATGTCTTTATTGTCAGAGGTGAAATGAACTTGAGCTCAGACCATTGATATCGTGCTATTGATTAACTTCAGAAATTTGCGGCGATTTAAATTTGTTTTGACGGAAATTCGCTGAAAAGAAAAACAACAATTAATATTACTTATTTAGACTTTAGGCAAAATATGTCAAAACAAATATCTCAGAAAAATACAATGTAAAAAATTAAAAAACAAAAGAATAAAGATTTAAGATAGAAAAAACAGACTATTAAAATCGATCAAATAATCACAAAAGCAAATGTTTTATGTCCAAAATTCTAATGTTTATTTATTTATTTTACAAACTGTTCTACAGGAAATTCCCAATTAGACAACAGGCAAAATATGACAAAACAAATATCTCAGATAAATACAATGTAAAAAATTACAAAACAGACTATATAAATCGATAAAATAATCACAAAAGCAAATGTTTTATGTCCAAAATTATAATGTTAAATATATCCAACTACACATGACATATAATGGAGATTTGCTTAAAATGTTGGTGCGAGGAGTGGTCAAGTAAAAAGTTTGATTGCACCTAGTAGTTTGGCGGAGAATCCTAAAATTCAACATATTTACATATTTACAATTTATTTTGTTGGTTATGACTTTGTGTAGTGTAACCACTGAAAAATACTTGCGCCTTACTTCAAGACTCGAAAAACTATGTCTTACTAACAGTTCGTTATGTGGGGTGCCAATTGGAGGATACACTTCTTCTCGGAAACTTAAATATTTGAGAAACAGTCTTTGAAGAGCCTCTAAACTGGTAACGTGTACATGGTAACTGGGACTCCATATAACCGAAGCATATTCAAGCAAACGCATAATAAAGATACTTTAACGTACAGTTCATCAAATTTCTAGAGGTGTTCGACGCCCAGACAGAGAACGCGCTACGTGTGACTAAGATAGCTATTGTACAGTCTGCTAAACAAGTTATTTTAAATAGTTTTTAATATTTTTAGGTAATTAAATTTTAAAAGTGTGGAATAGTTTAGGGATTAAATTGGTCTGATTGGACTTTCTTAGAACGTTTTTAAAAGCAGCTAAAGATAGTATGTAGAATTGAAAATAATTATTATGCCATAGAAGGTGTTTTGAAATTTCTTCAACCTTTTGAAATTGAGTCAGAAAATATAAATTTTATAGGATAGCGGAAAATACCTATAATTTTTTTGTAGGCCTTTGTAAATCGTGGAAATAGTTTATATTTTATTTCTACCTTATTAAGGAAAATGGTACCTATTATTAATAACGGTTGTTTCTGAAACATTACTAAAATTTTCGAAATTTTGTTTTTCTACAAAACAATAAACTATACTATTTAGAAAAAAATTTATTTCTCTTATAATTTTATAAAAAATAACAGGGGAATATTTACATTTCTTGATCTATTAAACAAAACGATAAATTATCTCGACGAATGACACCATGTTCTAGTACGGAAGCTAGCTTTACATTTTTGTTGGTGGTTTCATGGGTTTCATATCAATTTTTTGTAATTGTAGTTTACACGTACATATACCTCTTAACACTTGTTTGCTTTATTAAAAAAGTGTGTTGTTGTGATTTACGTCGAAATAAGTCAAAAACAACTTGAAACCCCATATAAAATCAAAAAGGAGAAACGGAAAAAAATTGAGCCTGTAAATGAACACAACTCAGAAACAAAAATAGCTATCTAATAATAAAAAATAAAATTTGATTCTTGTGCAGCTTCATCTATATCATTAACTGTTTTTGGTTTTTTAATGGTTTTTCTTGGTGATGAAAATTCCGATATCTCACGGTTATCGATTCTTTTTTTCTCTCCAGAAATGCGGACGACAGTGTTTTTAGATACTCCTGTGGCTGCAGCAACACGATCATTTACATTTTTAAATGGTATTGAAGGTGAATTAAAGTTTCCTTCTCTTCTCATAAACTCTATAACATTGGCTATTATTTCGCGAGATTGACTGTTAATCACGCGGCCTCTTAATTTGCTATTAAACTCCATACTTAGGTTCTATTAAACTGTAATGAGCAAAAAACACAAACGAAAATAAAAGAAATGTTTTAGCGAAATTTACATCTGACATTTACGTCGAAATAGTGAAATACTTGATGCGCAGAGTGTACTTTCATTGCGTAAATCCGTCGGGATGCCTGTCAGTAGTGCTTTCTCTGTCTAGCCGTCGAAAGCCTCTAGAAATTTGATGAACTGTACTTGTATTCTTAAAATCCCGATAGTTCCGAATTATGAATTCGTAACCCTCCTAACAAAGTTAAATGCTCTTCATCAATCAGTAAAAATTATGATATTTTTGGAACTATTCATACTCTTAGAACATATTTAAATAATATTGAAATCTAACATTTTATGTCTTTATATTTAAATTGATTTTTTTATTATTGTTTTTTGATACTGTTATATTTTGTATTACATTTTATACATATACAGAGACAACTCAGCGAGACGTGTAACTCAATGTATTTTTTTTTGTTCGGTAAAAGTTGTTTGAGCAATTGTAACCACAACCAGTCTATGATGGCGCCACTAGTAAATAGCGGGAAAATTTAAAAATGCTTTAGGGCGGGAAATTCAAACATGCATTCAGAAATAAATAGTTTTTCTATACAAATTTACAGGAGAAACAAAAACTATTGTTTCACTATATATTAAAAAATGTAAAAGCTTCCAATAACATCAAATTTTTTATCATATAATCATTTTAATAAAGGAAGTTTTAATCAGTTTAATATAAGCAGTGAACATATTTTTTATTACTCTTGTAAATTTTGCTAAAAATACTTAAAAATTCTAGTGATTGTTAAATATTTAAACTTGGAAAAATAATACACCATATAACACCTATAAATTATATTTTTGTAAGGTACGAGGCTGGGCTGAAAAATAATCGGCCTAGGGAAGAAAACACAACTTTTTTTTGGCAAAACTCAATTTATTTCTCAACATAGTCCCCTTTAAGCTCTATACACTTTGTCCAACGATTCTCCAATTTTTCGATGCCCTTCGAATAATACGATTTCTCGAAGTCCTTAAAATAGGCCTCTGTCGCAGCGATAAGCTTCCCATTCGACTCAAATCTCTTAGCACCGAGTCATTTTTTCAAGTCTGGAAACAGATAATAGTCGCTGGGCGCCAAATCTGGGGAGTATGACGGATGAGGAACAAATTCGTAACGCAATTCATACAGTTTTGCCATTGCGAGTGAACATTTGTGCGCCGGTGCGTTGTCCTGGTGGAAGAGTGTCTTCTTCGCTAAATGCGGTCGTTTTTGCTTCAAATCGTCGTCGAATCGGTCCAACAGCTTTGAGTAATAATCGCCGGTGATGGTTTTGCCCTTTTCAAGGTAATCGATATGAATAATACCGTGCGCATCCCAAAAAACTGTGGCTATGACCTTGTTGGCAGACAGACACCTTGGCTTTGACTCTCCCTGAGAAACCCACTGCTTGACTGTTCCTTCGTCTCTGGCGTATTGTGATGAATCCATGTTTCATCCACGGTTACAAAACGGCGCAAAAAGTCCTTATTATGGTTAAACATTGCCAAACACTCCTTCGAAGTTGTCACACGGTTTCGTTTGTTATCGGCATTGAGCAAACGCGGCACCCATCTGACAGCGAGCTTCGTCATTCCCAAATATTCGTGCAATACATTCTCCACTCGTTCACGTGAGATGCCCACAGCCTCAGCAATCTCACACACTCTTACCCGTCGATTGTCAATTACCATACCATGGATTTT